TCAAACCGTTCCTCTCATTTCGTGTTTTTGCTTTCACCTCAATCATCGCACTTCGAATCAGGTTACTCAATTTTCAAGATGGATGGACGTCGTTGTGTTGAACAATTGATGCCTTCATGAATGAACAACAAGGCCGTCAAATCTGACACGACTTGTGTTTTCAGGCTTTGCAGAGACCATTCGCGGTCCAGGCGATATTGTATTTTCTTGTTTGGCTTGTCCTGGAGGCCGCACGATGCAAGAAGAATCCATTCAAAGGCATTCTAAAACTGAAAAGCACATTCGAAACCTTGAAAGGTGGAAAACTACTCGCAACACGGCTGTCGCTCCAGCTGCTGTCAGCTTCATATCCATTGAAAACGAAGCAGTGCAGGACAATGATCAATTAAATAATGATCAAATTGATATGGATGAAGATTCAATGGATCCCCCTTTGGTGGAGCCCAACGTGGACGAGTCAGTCGATCATGAACGTGAACAAAGACGACGAGCCCTTGTCGACCTTTGGGCGCGTGATTACACACACATATTTGCATCTCCAGCTCCAGCCTCCGATCACAGTAGCGTGAATAGTGAAGATGAAAATATAGAACATCGTTCAATAGATTTTAACAACAAAGATAACCAATCAGTGACCTCAGATCCATCTGACGAAGAGGGAGAAGAAGGAAACGGTGTCAATGTGCAGGGTGTAGAGGATTTGTCGTGGGCGCCTTTCTCCAGCTTAGAGGTCGGAGCACTTGAAGTTATTTTTATAACTATTCCAGAATCTTATTCGCTTCTTTTGATCAGCAACTTGTCGGGTTTCTGACTCTAGGTTCATCCAGGACAATCATGTCACAGCTTCAGTACGAACGTGTCCGTTCTTTTATTGGTCTCCTGAATGTAAAGCTTCCAGCATATAAAACCCTCCAGCGTGTGCGCAAAAATCTCAAGACAAGATTTGAATTTGACGTCTCTGAGTCCCTCAGTCCTTTGGAAAAGCCATGTTTTGGACTCAAGGTCCAGCAGATATTGACTCAAGTACTTTTTTGTTTTTCATCTTTGGGATGGAGTCTTTTTCTGCTTTGCTTATTGTGGATTGTATTTTTATAGGAGCTAGCAAATCCATATGTTATGGATCATCTCCAATTCACACCCGAATTGCCAACTTTAACATCAAAAATCAACCGGTTTACGCAATCGAAAAAATGGCGAGAAGAGCTGGATCGAGACTTACGGGTGCAAATGGTGGCCTCTTCAAATGGACAATTCTTCATATATGAGCCAGTCCAACTTATATCAAAAAGAATTGTCATTCCAATATTCTTTTATCGAATCAATAGTCAAGTCTTGGCAAAATGTGCTTTTGCACGTCAATCTGCTTATCAAGACTCTGAAGGATGTCAACGAATCCGTGTCGAGTTTCCATCCATCTCGTCTTTTGATTCTTCACAGCTATCTTCAATTGATGTTAAAAACTTTGCCAAAGGATTGGATCAAATAGAAATTGGTGGCAAGTTGATGAAAGATTTAAGTGGAGACGTGATGTATGGTCAGTATTATACATCTTTATTTGATTGATTGATTGTGACTGACTCGAACTGATAAAAATATCATCATAGAGAATGATGCAAATGGCCAATGCAATGAAGTTCCGATACAAAACGTGTGGAGAAAAAAGGCAGGCGGCAGGATTATTCGACATATGCCCTTGGTGCTTTATTGCGATGATCTCTCTGGAAACATCTCGAAAAGGTGGAATAAACACCTTGCTTTTTACTTCACACTCGCGGGATTACCTTCAAAATTTGTGAATCAGGAATATAACTGCCATTTCCTGACAACATCAAATACAGCAGGGGCTTTGGAGCTTGCCGACCCTGTGATCGATGGAATCAAGTATGTATTTCCTCATTGGTACTGATATTACCATCTGACAATGCCTTGCATTCAGCAAACTCACAACCAACGGTTTCGTGGCATACGACAATCAGTGCAAAGAAGAAGTGCTGGTTATTCCATTTATACTTTGTCATTTAGGTGATTCGCCAATGCATGCTGAAGTCACCAACACGATGAACCCAACGGTTTCTCTCACACCATGCCGAATCTGTGACTTGAAGGTTGAATTATTGGCTCAGAAAAGGTCACGAACATATGTCAGCAATTTTGTGGGAGTTGATGAAAACGGGCACAAGGTAATATCTCTCTTTATTTACTGATTGGATCTGCCACTTACTATTACCATTGAGCATGCGGTTTGTTCATTTGTTCCAGTTGAATTTACCAACTCGAAGCTGGGACAAAACAAGAAAGCAAACAAAAGAACTATGGGAGTTGGCGCAAAAGCCAAACACCATCTCGGTTTTTGACAGTGAATCAGGTAGGTGTGGGGTTCGCGACCAAGGTAATATGCCCTTTGTTAAAAAGGTTCAAGACTTGCATCGAGACATAAACTATTCAAAAGAAGCAGTGGCGCAGATCTGCTCTGAACTCAATGAAGAATTCAAAGAACGCTTATTTAATCCGTTTCTGAGGTTGAAAGGTTACGTTCATTTACCTCCACCGCCAAGCAATGCACTAATATGTTCATTGTTGTTACTTAGGATTCGATGGTCATCGAGACACCCCAATCGAAATCCTTCACGTGGTGCTTTTGGGAGTAGCCAAATACCTTCTCCGTAATCGAATGAAGTTATGTTCAGCAAAAGAAAAGGAATTGATTTGGGGTCGGTGGAGATCCTTCAGCACTTCTGGATTGAGCATTCCTGCAATCCAGCCTAAAAGTATGATAACTCACTTTCAAAGCCTCACAGGAAAAGAATTTCGCACAGTAATACAATCAGCACCATTCATTTTTTTTGAATGTGATTTATCAGCTGAAGAGCGTGAAGCCTGGACATCACTATCCCATCTTGCACCGTTGATCTTTCAGACTGAAATTACGGATATGGAATCTTATCTTGAGCAACTTGGACAACGGGTTGAAATGTTCCTTGTATCAATTGTGAAGCTCTCAGCACAATGGTGCAACAAGCCTAAATTCCATATGCTTGTTCACCTCTCGGCGTCAATCCTTTGTTTTGGTCCAGCTTGCCTCTTTGCAACTGAAAATTTTGAGTCTTATAATGGAAACACCAGAAACTCGTCAATTCACTCAAATCACTTGAGTCCAGGTCGGGACATAGCAAATTCCTTCAATAATCATAGGCTTATCCGGGCGCTCACTTCCGGTTCCCTCCTTTACGATAAGAGACTGAAAACCTACATGGCGGCAAGCCCAAACATCTCAAACATATTCAAAAATAATGTATTATTTCAGAAGACAGTAGGCTACAATCAATCTTAGAATCAAGAACATAATTTCAAAGTCGGATGTAAGGAATTTCAACTATTTTATTCAAACAATTTCAACTATTTTATTCAAACAAACTCTTGATTGGATGTTTGTTTCTCACAGTTGTTCATAAAACCCAACCACAAAGTGCTAACGAGTGCATACCCAAAGCAATATTTGATGCGTACTCGGCAAAGAATTGGAAAGTTCTTGAGTCATTAACTTTGAAGAACGGCCAGCAATTTAAACAGGATAGTTTTATATCGGTATGTAACAGATGATAATGTTCTTCACAAATTATTCATGCCCTGCTTTGATTGTTTGTATCATTTGGTTTTCAGATCCAATTAACATCTTCAGATGTGCGATTCATAGGCAAGGTACGAAGAATCTGGGGAACAGGTTCCTGTGTACCAGAACAAAGCAAACTGGAGGTTTACAAATGTCAACTTCGGGGAATTAGCAATTTTTACCGTATGCGCCAGATAGAGGTGACTCAACAGTGCTATTGGATCAATCCCCGAGTAAGTAACAACCAATTGATTATTAATTTTGGAAACTTTGGCTAATGCAGATTGTCCAGGACATTGAAGGGGTCCTTAATGTGCAACACGACTGCAATGAAAGCAAATGTAAGGTCGAAAAGGATCGTCCTATCAGGATTGAGCGGCGGCTATCAAAGAATTTTGATCACCGTGTGGTGCATGAGGAGACAGCATCTTATATCCTCAAGTCAGGGTCTTTTTATTCTGCGGAACTCCATAGAAAATGGGCCGGAATCTCTTTTTGAAAAGTACAGCCTGAAGACCGGGTGTCGGCTATCACAACAGGAATTGAAAATTGGGAGTCGACATTGAGAGACAAGCAGGAAAAAATAGACAAACAACATCAAAAGGCAAAAGATCACAATCACGCGAAAAAGAGGATGTTCAAGGGCAAAGAGAAAGCAACAGAACATGATCAGAGTCAAGAACTTTAATGTCTATTTGAATGTCTATTCCTTAAACTAAGAACTTTAATGTCTATTAGAATGTCTATTCCTTAAACTGTCAGTTAGATAATCATTTCATTTTATTTCATGATGATAATTTCACATCAATTCAATTTGAATCACTATCCCTAAGCTGTCAGATCATATCCCTTGGATATAAAATGTGGTTTTTCGAAAAAATGATGAGACAACTCAAGGAAATCTTTTGTCAAAAAGAAGTTTCTCCTGATTTCATCTCATCCAAGGGTCCATCATGCCATTGAGAAGATTCAAGGAAATCTTTTGTCAAATCACGTCTCTTTCCTTTGTCAAAATCGAGTCTCTTTAAGGAAATCTTTTGTCATAATTTCATCCGAAGGGTCAATCATGGCATAGTACTTTGATACAGACATTTATCAATCCATCTAACACTAAAGGATCTAAAGTCGGTTGAAGAAAGGAATCAAATAGCCTTCGATGATCGGATTATTAATCAAACTCATCAATAAATGTGACATCTCGTCTTGATAAAGTTAATGTAAATGTATATAGGCTTGTTTGATTATATAACATCCATAACGAGACAGGATATGATGAATCTGGGATTCGATTATATAACATCCATAACGAGACAAGATATGATGAAGCTAGAACAGAAATCAAAGACAAAGTGTTAAGTGAATGTAATACCCCCCAAAAAAGTGAAGACGATCATCCCAAACTTACATCCTCTTCTGCCCATAAACCCGGTTCACTCATAGTTTGAATCCAATCACTACCAGCCAACAAGATGATCCGAATCGGTTTCCGTTGACTGGTTTGAACCAAAACCACCGATAAATTAGAATTGGCACAATCTTTGATAAACTGATTGGTAATGGTTGCAGAAGATTCAATAAGTCACCAAGCTAAAGAAAGAATAACCAGAGAGTGTGAATATGTACTTACGTTTGCCTCTTCACATTGAACTAGCCTTTTGGGCGGCGGGCGCCGCTCTGTCATTTCCCATTCCCACCGGGGCTTTCAAGTATGCTCAAAGCTATAGAAAGCTACAAAATCACTATGTTGGTGGAAGCACCACTTCATTGATGAACATATCCTCCATAACTAACAAATCCCTTCAGATTGGTGAATATGTATTTCCTTCATTTTCACAATCAAGTGTGTCCTGGTTTTGAATCTTTAAAAAACCTACAATTGCTGGATTGACAATGAGCACTGTTGAATTTTGTAAGCAAAGTGGGTCCAATATGTGTCTAGATGTTATGATAACACAAAAAGTAATTACCTTTGATTTAGTCACATCTCCCAATTTTTAATCATTTTATTTGATCAAATCCACTGCTTTGATGATTGAATGGTGAACCATGCTAGTCTAATCACATTCAAAGGAGAAAACTACACTACATGTCAGGATCATGAAGGAAAAATGAATAAGAAAATTGCTTTCCAGTATGTCAAACTTGTCCACATACCAACTTATGAGTGTCTCAATTTCTTGATATAATTGACTTACTTCAATTGATTGAATGAACCTTATATTTGTTGGACTATGTCTTGAGAGTGAGTGAAAGAAAAATTTAGTTTAAAGTGTTGGAGCATGGATTCACTTGAGATTAAAGCTGTTCCACCCTTTAGGTTTTATCAATTGTTTGATTACCTGATCATTGACTCACAATGTGATGCATTAATTGACCTTCTGTGTGTATAATTTTGATCTAGATTTGATTGATGTTCAAAAATCTCAAGTTAAAGTTGATAGATATAAGAGGTTGGCTTCATTCTAGTTTCAGGATTCTGTATAAAAGCAACATATTTGATCAAAACCTACCTTACAATACTGTTTGGAAGATGTCTCTCATCTGATATCCTTGGGCTTGAACTTTCAGAACTACAAACAAAATGTGATAAATTAAACAGAATGATGATTGTTGTCACCCAAAGTGTATATGTGAAGGTTTGAAATATTATTTTGAGGATACATGATGACTTGCTTTTGTTGA